AACTCACCGTCTACCCTCGGCCCGCGTGTCGCCCTCCCAGGCCGACCTGACGCCCGCAGCCTGTAGATCCTGCAGCAGCAGCCGCAGGTCAGCTGTTCGCAGCCCGCAGTCCTGTAGCTTCAGCAGTGCGAACCTGGCAACGCGAAACTTAAAATTCAATTACCTTAAAAAAATCAGAATAGTTAAAATAATAAACGCTCTCTCGGTACTTCAGTGACACTCCTCTAGACGTTCCTTCGGTCCTTCAGTGCCATTCCTCCAGACGTTCCTTCGGTCCTTCAGTGTCATTCCTCCAGACGTTTTCTACTATTGCCTTGCCAGTGCAAAGTATTATACACAAAAAATTGACTGTCCTAGCTTACAGTCACTTCTGCTTAATAATTCGATATTCCAAGGGGCACCATAAACTTTAATGTTTATGGGGAGTTCCTGAGAACCTGAGAAGCTATCCCTTTTAGACTTGCTTCCCTGTTATCCAATTAGTTCCCCTGCTGGATCCTTCACTAGTTTTCTTATAGTTCCCACTCAACTTCCGTATCTCACAGGCACCGTAAGTTTGGAAATTAAAGCTTAAAAAAAGTTTAAGGTTAAAGTTTACTCATGCGAGTGAACTAACCTTAGGCCAAGAGGGGCGAGGGAAGTGATGGTGTGGGCCACCGCCCCCAGGACCCCTCATCCGCCCCCGCTACAGACAGCAACGGCTTGGGCCACGAGGGCAGGGGCCAAGTGGGGGAGGCTGGCGGGGCAGGTAAGGGGGGCGGGAAGGTACGCGTGTACACCCCTGATGAATGAAATGATAGATAACAGTGATGACCTTGTGTATACAGAACTACACTTCTGTATACAAAGGCTTCACTTCCAGAACTACACTTCTGTATACATAACTACACTTCCAGAACTACACTTCTGCATATAAAACTACACTTCTGTATTCTGTAAATATAATAATATGATAAGTATTCAAAGACTACACTTCTATATTATTATTATTCTACGAAGCCTATATCGTGGCGTCTGGTTCAAACGAATTTCGACGGCACGTTACACATAAGATTAATAGCAAGCGAAAAATAAATAAACACAAGAAAGGATGTGAACGGAAAATATGACTAAGCACTAGATTCATAGGTTCTACGAAATAGTTCCGTCTTTAGGCGTCGACGCAACACCTGCAACAAAGGAGCCAAAGTTACGGAAACCGGCAGACTGTTCCACGTTCTGGCGGCGGCGACCGGGAACGCTCTTTCGTCGACGGTAGATAGACGTGTAGATGGTACGATGAGGTCCGCTGTTGATGACGAGCGCATGCTCGTCATCAACGTCGTCTTCTAGAAGGCAGGTCCGACACACGCTGCAGATTTTCCGTGAGATAAGGAGGCGCCAGACCGTCAAGGCATCGGAACGTCTGAACATCGACCTTGAACTGCGTGCGCTGCTGAATGCGCAGCCAGTGAAGATCGCGCAATATCGCATGGTCGAATTTTCGCTTATTGCACACGAGTCGAGCAGCGGCGTTCATTACTGATTGCAGTTTATTAAGTGCTGTGGTCGGAAGTCCATAAAGTGTGGCATTACCATAGTCCAATCTGGTCAGAACGAGCGCTACCACGAGGGACTCAAGGACCGGCCTCGAAAGACAGCGGCTGATGCTACGTATTCGGCCGGAAGCTGATGCTGGCGCCGAGCAGTCGCAAACCAAATAAAGTCGGTTTTTGCTGCTTTGACCTGGAGCCGGTTGGAGCGCATCCAGTCTGAGACGGCGTTCATGCAGACAGACATTCGATCCTGCGACGCTGCGGCGTCAGCTGGTGCACCCTAGCCATAAATTTGCGTGTCGTCGGCGAACATATGCGGATTCAAACTATGTGAATCAATTACATTCAATACGTCTGCAGTATTTAGCAGGAAGAAGATCGGACCAAGAACTGATCCCTAGCTGTGGTACCAACGATGGCGTAGAAGAGGAGTTCCCGCGTCGAACGCATTGGAATCTATTGCTGAGATAGGACTCGAACCATAGCAGCACTGTGCCACGCATTCCGAATGATACAAGTCGACGCAAAAGGTGCCGTGGTCGACCGTGTCAAACGCGGCCGACAGGTAGGGTAAAGCTAGTGCCGCCATGTCGCCGCGGTCTACTGGGCGCAGAATGTCGGAGACCATCTTCAGTTTCCGTCGTGTGGAGGTGACGGTATGCAGGAGGCGTGGCATGAGACTGGACTGCTGAAGATGGTAGTTCAGCTGTCGCGCCACAACGCGTTCCAGGAGTTTCGACGAATTTGACAGGTTTGAGATGTGTCGATATGATTTGGGAGCGGAAGCGTCAATCTTTTTTTGTATGCAGATAAATGAATAATACAAAGACCACACTTCTGTATACTAAGACCACACTTCTGTATACAAAGACTACACTTCTGTACACAACGGCGACTCACAAAGGTTTCTGTATTTGCACTCGAAGGCGCTGAGGTCCAGGGGCGCCGCCAGGTGGATGCGGAGGTCAGCGTCGCGAGCCACGGTGCTGAGGGCGGCCACCCCAGCGCCGGTGCCCACGCAGCCCACGAACTCCCCCAGCCTCACCCTGTCCACCCGGATTATAGGGTGAAGCGGGGTGATTATTAATTGTGATTAAACATTATTATAAGCATTATCTTCTTGTATTAATTTCTATTGACACTTGTTGTTTACACCACCACTTGTTGTTTTAACCTATTGGGTGCTGGGACCTAGCCTGGTTCTCACCCGCTGTTGTGCAGCGGCAGGAGGATGTCGTCGTGATGATTGTATGCGTCAGTCGTGTTGAACAATATAATTAATGAAATTAACCTATATATTATTAATAACATATATATTAATGAAATTACCCTATATTTCCTACATATGGGTTAACCTGGGGTGTTGGTTCTCACCCGCTGTCGTGCAGCGGCAGGAGGATGTCGTCGTGATGATTGTAATCCTCAGTCGTGTTGAAGGATCGCAGGTCAAGGACGACCTCCGGCCGTCCATAGGTCCCCATGAGTCCTGCCACCTCGACGAGGTCACCCCACGGCGCCCCCCTCAGGTCATCCGCCCCCGCATCCACCCTCAGGCGCCGTGGCTGCGCATACTGCAGCATTGCAGCCACCACAGCCACATCGACACCTCAGGCAATGTTAAGTTTAATTAAGTTAAGTAATTGAGTGAAATTGAGTTATTGTCACCCGCCACACCAAGCATGATTGAACGTTACCCACCCATTCAATGGCAGTGAATTTCAAGCAATTTAAGTAAAAGGAGCCCACTTCACCCATCAACTTACCCACCATCTTACCCATCATCTCACCCACCGTCACCCAACGTCACCCACCATCACCCACCAGCCATGACGACCCATGCCTGGGTNTGGCTGTCTCTTATACACATCTAGATGTGTATAAGAGACAGGTTATAGAGCAGTAAAGCTTTTCAACTCACAATAATTAAGGAAAAAATTCAAATATAAGTGAAACATACAGCTAATTTTGTGGCTATACAGACCACGAACCAATATTTTGGTTCGTGTTTTCACACCTTGCGGTTCACCATATATAAGAGTTTACATAGGAGCTTGCTGGTTCTATTTAATATGTCGCTACGCAAATAGTGAATGCAAATATAGCTTCCAGTTTATAGCAGAAGTTATATGGTGAACGTGTTTCTCCGTCATCAGTACAAACGTATAGACAATATAGCTAACATCAATATAGAATAAAGATGAATTCATTTGAGGTAATTTTCGCCTTTATATTCTTATTAGACTTACCTTGAAATTAACTAAAAAATAAATCCACCTCTCAATCACGAGTCCCAGTCGTCAAGTCTACCGTCGAGTCCCAGTCGCCAAATTTACAGTCAAGTCCCAGTCGACAAGTCTACAGTCAAGTCCCAGTCGTCAAGTCTACCGTCGAGTCCCAGTCGCCAAATTTACAGTCAAGTCCCAGTCTCCAAATTTACAGTCAAGTCCCAGTCGCCAAATCTACAGTCAAGTCCCAGTCGCCAAGTCTACAGTCAAGTCCCAGTCGCCAAATTTACAGTCAACTCCCAGTCGCCATCCACCAAGCAAATGTCATTAATTTAACATTATTTTTTCCTAATTTCACCATTTAATAGAACTGCACAATGAAACAATATAATGTAACTGCATATTCTCATATTAAGCAATAACAGTAATCCTCTGTTATCTTGCAGTCGATGAGAAGAATTTTGTTTTATGTTTCAAAAAATAATAACAAAATTTTCTACCTGGCGCAAAAGAATAATTGACAGTCGCAATCCACTCTCGCTGCGCCGAGTCTCTATAGTCTGCAGGCTTCATGAGAGTCTGCAGGCTTCATGAGAGTCTGCAAGCTTCATGAGAGTCTGCA